TTATAGTCAAGGAGAAAACCATAATGCCATAAATAATGGCGCTTTGAAAATTACGACCTTCTTTCGAACACTTGCCAATTTCCGGCAAATTAGCTAAAGTAAATTCCCAAAATGGCTCTTTGGCGTTTTCAACATAGGAATATAAACATTAGAAGTCACAAAACCAGAAAATGGTTGTTTTTGTGTTGCAATGACATCTAAGAAATTGGTGATAGGGGTTAAAAGCCGGACCCTCTCTGAAAGCATTTACCATTGCATCAGAATTTTTTTCTTTTCTCAATAGAGATTATAGTCCACGATACGACAGACGTTAATCCATCTCTCTACCGACTGAGCCATTCCTCTGCCTAGATTGTCAAATAATAATTCAAACAAAAATCGTGATTCCAATTTCATATACATGTAATATAAAAAATTATGTCATTATGTAGATTTTACGTCAGAGCGTTGATGAAGTGTATGCATGTCACTGTGATATGTGTTGAAAGATAAATCTTTCAGTTAAATTGTGTTAAGGTGAGGACATCATATTGACTAAAATACCCCATAAATCTGACAATCTATCATCACCACACACTCGTTATTCCGGAAGTACTCTTTAATCAGGTGAAATCGAGGTTAACTGTTGGCTCTACATCGATATAATCCATAACAGAAATATGCTGGAATAATCAACATTTGCTGTCCTTAAAATGTACCTTTTAGAACGCAATATCACTGTTCTTCTGAAATATGAGTTTTGTGTGAAGGTTCATCAAGGAAATGTATAATAGTTAAAGAATACAACAAGTATAATGTAAACCAAAGCATCAAGTTGGGTGACGTCATGATGAGCGAATTCATCCACTGGATTCAATTTGAAGATTTTTGATTATTATCTTATACATTTAAATAAAATTTAATTTTTCATCATCCCTTTTTTTCTAGAATTTGTCGTTCTCATGAATAGGAAAAGGACCAAAGTGTCAGCTTTTAAACTCAATGTTATTTCATCAGTCTTTTTGAACATACTATCTTACACAATTGTTGTTTTTCAAATGGCATGTGAAATGACCAAAAAAGAAAAACAAAGAATGTTGTCACTTTTATTGCAAATAGAATTCAATAGACAATCAAGCTGTCATAGACGTGCAAGAAATCTATTCCAAAAGTATCGTTAATAGACTAACAATATTGGTCATACAATTCAAGATTTACATAAGCGCTCTTCAAAAGTAAGGTTTAAATGGTATACATAAACATCTAATTTTTGGCGGGCATTCAGTCGGACCAAAAGGCTAATTACTATCAGAGTGCTAAAATGTCCGCTCTTTTTGTTAACAATTATTGCACAGTTGGTAATATTATTAGGTATATATCGTGTAATAAGCTTCAGGGATTTTGTCATTTTGAAATAACGAGATAAAATTAACACGCAATGATCCATGTTTTAACACCACAGTTTACTGTTTGATTTTAAACTATTATTATCTATCATGATACTGATAACTATTGTCTGACTATGATTTGTTTGTGTAATGTATTTTGATGTTCGATCATGTACGAAATTAAAGCTTAATCCTATCAGAGATGCCATTGTTGAATTTAGAAAAATGTCTCAGCCAGGAAAAACACTGTTTTAATATTTTAACAATTTTTATGCCTTTTCCATCTGATATATCATAATTTCAATTTTTCGTTTCACCTTTTAAGAACAGAATCTTATTTAAGGTGTGTCTGTAATGGAAATATTAGTATTATGACTTCATGGTGTTGGTAATAGCGGCCCGGAGGTGGCCTTGAAACTTTTTAATTTTTCCAACGGTTAAGGTTATTTTATTAAGGACTATCGGAATGTTAAAAAAAATCATAACAAAAAACAATGTTCTAATCTGAGTCAATCTGTCCATTTTCAGAGGCCATTTTGAATTATTAATAAATAAAAGGAAAGGTAAAATAATGAGAAGATACAGTCGACATTTTGTATGTTAATGACTTTGCCTGTATTATTTAGGGTTAGTGTACTAACTGAGGCATACAAGACTGACACATGCCAGTATAAACATCAAGGTGTTTCCGAACTTTTAAAGTCATATTGTGACATATATGTCACTCGTATACTTGATAAATAACTACTATATAATGTTTTTATCATCTTTATGTGTTTTTAAAACAATGCATAACTTGTAAGAATGGGCTACAAAAATGTGTTGTGATTTCTAGTGCACCGAAAGGTCTATAGATTGGTATTATGACTCACACAGTTTGGTACTTTATCATAAGTACCTTCCAGAGTGGCCATGTTAATATCGTTCAAGTATATCCAAATAAGGTATTGTGACAAGAAGATATGATGAGAATGGATTGCAAAATAAGTGTTGTGATTTCTGATACGCCTTATAGTTTAGAGGAAATTTCGGTACTTCATGAAAAGTGCCTTCCACGCTATGTTAATGTCATTTCAGCATTAAATTTATTATGACATCTTTATAATGTACAGGATATCATGATTGAAATTAAATGACATGTTGTCAGTGGTTAATGAATATTATGTTTTACATAATGTTTTAATGTTCTATTCTATGTTGTCACCTGACCTTCCTGAAGTGTGTATAAAGAGATATCAACTGGTTGTGTCATCTTTCTGAATCTGCTTGAGGCATTAACCCACAATTAAGAAAACTTAATGTTATTAGTATATGCAATACAAAGTTTCCTTTTGTTTCACAGGTCACAATAAAAAAAATCTTCATCTATTAAACCCATTTCTGAAATCATTGTTTTTTTTTAATTCCTAAGCTAGTAAATCATTAAATTCATATCTGTGAAAAGCGCATGTACAGAACATTCATCAAAGTAAACAGCATTGCATACTTGATTCTGACTCATTCAAATGATATCCGATTAAGATATATTCCGATGATATCAAATTCAGAGCTTATTAAGCTTTAAATTTGCTTCAGATCTTTTCAAATGACACTCTTTATTATCTATTCAAATAATATCTGATTCTGATGCAGAACTATACAGATGAGATCTGATTCAGAACTATTCAGATCTATTCAGCTCATATTTGGTTCAGATCGATTCAGCTTAAACCGCTTCAGATATTATTTTCAAATTATATCTGATTCAGATCTATTCAGATGTTATCTGATTTCGATCAATTCAGATGTTATCTGATTTAGATCTTTTCAGATGATATCTGATTCAAATCTATTCAGCTGATATCTGATTCAGATCTATTCAGCTTAAATCTGCTTCAGATCTTATTTTCATCTTATATCTGATTCAGATCTTATTTTTCGCTGATATCTGCTTTAGATCTTATTTTGAGCTTATATCTGATTCAGATCTTATTTTCCGCTTATATCTGCTTCAGATGTTCTATTCAGCTGACGTCTGATCCCGTGTCCTCTCTTGATATCTGATTTCTTCCATATTCAACATATATTAGAACATTCTTTTCAGAGTATTTATAAACTATATTCGATAGTTGAATAATAATAATAATAGTATGCTAAAGGTAAGGGTATAAAGACCATTTTTAAACAAAAAATCCCATCTCTTAAATATGAATAAGGCACGAGTTTTGAGGTATATTCACGTTATTATAGTTTTTTTTGCTGTTAATCTGTAACCATTGTGTCTATCAGTTTTGTTACTTGTGTTTATCTTTCGACTTTAAACATATTTAAAAACAGATTTAAAACGCTTATGATATTTGTCACATTTGAGACAGTAGCCGTTACGGGTACAAATATTTACTTATCTTGTTTACCTTTATATACATATCGGTACATGTACCTTGGAATTCTTGTTAGTGTCGGCCATATCAAAAGATGACTTTAAATTGGCACAAAGGTTGGACTAAGAGGCTTTCTTAAGCAAAATGCTCAAGTTGACCAAAGGAAAGCATTGTACAGATGAGGGTATGAGCTTAGTAGACTAGCAGATACAGAAATGATATGGAGTTTTACGTTATCCTATTCGGCATGGCTACTACATTTTTTCTGTATGAAGCTTTGATGTGCAGTACAGATAATCACAAATAATGGCATAAATAGATTACGACCATGAAGTAAATGTATTGGTATATTTAAATATCTATGTCCTCAATATTATACGCAGGTCTGTAATTATCATAACGTCTAGACTATTCAACATTAATATTATTCATTCGTAATCATTAGATAAAGGATATAACAAATTATGCAACAACATGTAGTAGAATAATCATCTAGTTGTCTCTGTGTGTCCCGGAATGACCTCAGCAGGATTGACAGCACATTACATCACGTTAGGCTTCATTTACTTTTGTGTTGTGTGGTAGATATCATATACCAGTCCTATATAGTATTTGACTGATAGTCATATAATATAATCTAAGTATTTATTTAAACTATTTGAAGATAATAATAAACACTTTTAAAAAAGAAACCTGTATTTATTTTTGTATTTCAACAACATGTGCTTAACGGCTAAATATAACGATTTCTGATGGGTAACCCAGTATCGAAGTGGGCGGTACCCAAACCACATACCGTATCGTATCTCTTTCACTGGCTTGCTGTGTGATTGACAGCCGTACATAACTGAGTGGTGTGTTCAGAGATCATAACTGTCCCGCCTCTTGTCGGCCGTTTCACTAAACTTTACATTAATACTCCGACACACATATAGATCGTTTTAAAAGTTGAAAGTGCTCTGGTGTGTACCAGTTGTCATACGATGTGTTACTTGTATACAATTTAGTCTATAGAAGTTCTGTACTTTTTTACAGTGGATATACTATCATCACGTTCAAACCAGTGATCATTTTTATAAACTATACCATACAATACTGGCGGACATATTCTCTTTGAACTCATCTCAAGTGGCAATACAAGTCAGCGATACAATCACTTCACAGCAGTCAACACATGGAGCTCTTGTAGTAAATACGTTCGACAGTGTAACGGATAGTGGTTTACGGAAGTGAAGACCCCTTATTAACTCCGATGTGGGCGTCCGAGGGAAGAATGATATCTCACCTTGTGGGGTTAGCCCTCCTGTTGTGTGGGACGGGCTGTTATGGACTATCTATTGACGGCCCTCACCCACCGCGATGTGAGCCGATAACCATACCAATGTGTAAAGATATGAAATATAATACAACTAGAATGCCAAATCTTGTGGGACATGAAAATCAAAAGGATGCTGCTATTCAAGTACACGAGTTTTTACCATTAGTGCAGTTTGGATGTTCACGATTATTAAAGTTTTTTCTGTGTTCTCTGTACGCTCCAATGTGTACTGAATTGGTGGACGGGACAATCATAATACCTGCTTGCAGATCGATGTGTTTGAAAGTTAAAGCGAAATGTGAACCTGTACTGACAAAATTTGCCTTTCCTTGGCCAAAAATGTTGTCTTGTGACAATCTTCCTGAAAAGAGCAACCCAAAAGAAACCTTGTGTATGGAAGCTCCGGAGGAAGATGATGAACCTTATCAAGGGAATTCTGGAGTAGGATCTACTAAGATTGGTCATTTCCATGAAGAGGACTGGAAGAAATTATTCAATGAAGTGAAAGAAAAGCCTTCAACCAAACCAACTATTAATAAAAAGCAAAAGAAACCAGAGAAGGATAAATGTCCTCAGAGATTTGTTCATATTGATACGATACAAGGCAATAGTTCATGTGCCCCCAGGTGTGATGTGGATGTTTATTTTCGACAAGGAGATAAAGATTTTGCTCAAATGTGGATGATAGTATGGGCTTCACTGTGTTGTTTATCAACTACGATTACTGTTTTAACCTTTGCTATTGATTCTACCCGATTTAAATACCCCGAAAGACCCATTATTTTTCTCTCTATGTGTTACGCCATATACTCAATTGCTTACATCATTAGGGCTGTAACGGGACCACAAGTTATCTCGTGCGATCAGGCCCGTGATGGCAAGGAATTCTTAATTCAAGAGGGATTAGAAAGTACATGGTGCATTATTGTGTTTCTTATTTTATACTTCTTTGGAATGGCCAGTTCTATTTGGTGGGTCATCCTAACTGTTACGTGGTTTTTAGCTGCTGCCCGCAAGTGGGGACAAGAGGCTATTGATGCCTTGAGTAGTTATTTTCATTTAGCAGCGTGGGCAATACCTGCCATTAAAACTATAATTATATTGACAATGCGAAGAGTTGATGGCGATGAATTAACTGGATTGTGTTATGTAGGAAATCAGGATATCGGTGCATTAACAGGATTTGTATTAAGTCCTCTAATAGTATATTTATTTATTGGTTCAGTGTTTTTATTATCGGGATTTGCGGCATTACTTCGTATTAGAAACAATCTTAAACATGACGGTACAAATATCCGTAAACTAGAAAAACTCATGGCTAAGATTGGTATATTTTCTGTGTTATATACAGTGCCTGCAACATGTGTGATAGGATGTTATTTTTATGAACGTATTAACTATGATAATTGGCGACAACAGGCTATGGCTAGGCCTTGTGCAAGTCGTACGGATTGTCATTTAGAGTATTCAATACCTACAGTGGAAGTTTATATGTTAAAGATTTTTATGTCTCTAGTAGTAGGTATCACAAGTGGTATGTGGATCTGGAGTTCCAAAACAGCCGCTTCCTGGAAACAATTCTTCTCTAATCGATTCTCGAGGAGAAAGTCAAACTATTCTGGGGGCTACCAACAAGCCCCTGTCATCATGATGAAGTCACAACATGGACAGAAATATTTGCCTAAAGTTACAGGCTCTCGTGTGTGACACTAGTTTAACCGTCAGAAAAGTGGCTTGTTTGTTTAACGCCCCAACCCTTCTTAGTATGATATTGAGTCGCGACTTAACCGTTTACAAACCTAATTTAAACTGAGATTCTCAATGGAGAGAAATTCGGGTCAATAGACTTGTGAGTTATTAGGAGAAGGATGATTAAATAAGACGAGAGAGTATGATATGATTGAAGCTATGGATGAAGTATGATAAATATGTTACAAACAATTACTACATATTATAATATAATTATCATTGACTTTCTGTCACACCTGCAGTCTACCCTTACATCAACTATGTCAATGTATTATATATGAAACACCATTTTATAGACTCATTGCATGTATTCAAAATATGTACTGATGCAATATATAATTTTTATTCATTATGAGTTTAGGCCTTACAGGGAAATTTTCACTCGATTTTCATAAAATTTATCTAATTTTCATTTAATGATAGGCTACTTTTTCTTATTGAATTTTTACATTGCACTTCTATTCGGCATGCTTAAAGATCTGCAACCTGAGCACTTTAAAGATCCATTGACAATTGATAATCAAAAGCTTAGGTATTTTCACTTCTGAAATAATCCAGTGTTGGATTCAGAACAGAAGGACGTAACACTCAATTTCATTTCATTTTTCAATATCGTGCAACTAGTAACAGAAATATCATATTTAATGCATCTTGTTATGCTCAAATAAAACTATTTCTTTCTTGATCTTTCCAAAATAGTCGGTCAATCGAGTGGAAATGCTTCTATTGGAAGTGATTTGCCTTTGATCTGTGAATTGTGAATATAACAATGTAATTGTACAATACAAAACTATCGAGTGAGAATGCCCCTCGAACATTTATTTGCATTAATGCTCTATGCTTCCATCTTATTCATACAGAGAAAATAAATGTTTAGGACTAGATATCGTGTCTGTGTTGAATATTTGAGGTCGTGTTGGTTGATATCGATGTCTTTCAGTAACTACTATACGTATAAAAGTAATATTATTTGGGAGTAGTGGGGCGGAAGGTAATAAAAAATGACTTGTATAATGGCGTATTCTAACGGTGAACATTAAGACTTTTATCAAATAGAATTCAGGGATATTAAATCATTGCTGTTATTAACCGTTGTTGAAATTATTCATAGAATGATTTGGAAATTTGAAGCTAGCCAGATGAGTTAGGTCTGTTACGCCCAATTGCCAAGGGAGATTTGGAGTTGAAAGAGATGAATACTTGTAAGAAAATGAATTGTAAGTGAGAATCTGATGTGTTTATTTGTGTCTGGTTGAAAGAGAGAATCTGACGATATAACATGTGCTAAATATCGACTTAGATCTTACAAACTTGAACAAATCTTTTTTACCATCAAGAAAAGTTGTGTATTGAGTAACATGGTATTTGTTATGAAGAAAATTAGCCCTCTTGTTTTCTTCTTGTTAAAATATGTTCTGTTTTTATATATAATATTGTTATCAACTGTTGAATTTCTATTTGATATTTTTAACCGACATAAAAAGAGTCGCAACTTTGTCAAATATCAAATTTCTGAAGAAAACTGAATGCTAATTTTTAACCAAATTGTTAATTTTGTTAAATTGAAATAAGAATCTTTGAATAAGAGCTATTTTATATAATTTTGAAAGAAAACCTTTCATGTTTCAGATTGAAAACGTATTTTATGTTTGTATTAAAATTTCATATTTTGTTTGGCCTTTCTATTTTTGACTAAGTAAATAAAGTGTTTGTTGTCATATTAAATGAAGAATTAGTTATGTTTTTTTCCTAGCCTGTAGGCTATTGAACTGGTTCTTGGGTTCATTATGAATAATATGACAAGCGTTCTGATTATATTATATATAAGGATGGTCCAATATACGAGTTTCTGGTTCATATTGCAGGTTATATGACCTATAAATCATTAATAAGCCAATTTATTTTACCATTTTATGTTCTTGCTTTGAACACATGACTGATTTGAAATCAATATGCGTAACGTAATTCAATTTTATTTCTATTGAATTTTGACGAATTCTAGACTTAACTTTTTTTGAAGGAAATTGGCAGCATCATGTAGGTCATACACATACAAATGATAAGGCTTCTGTTGAATTTTGAGGTAATTTTAAAATCTTAGTCTTATTTCTTCTATAGGCTACTTTAATATCAGACCAGACTATTTTCAAGATTTCCAAAAGTGGCCAATATAAATTATGGAATTCTTTTTATGAGATTCATCCTGGGATTGCCAAAATTCATCTGTGATTTGAAAATTAGGAAAGATCCTGACCTTTATTATAGAAAGAAAACACTAGCAACTCTCTCATCAGGGAAGAAGGCGAAACATCATTGATAACCTAATACATTAACATAGGATAGCAACTTCCTTTAAATACCGTCACAGTTTCCTTTTAAGTCTGTTCAGAATCACGTACATATTATATACATACAGGGCCTAAATTATACCATTAAACTTTTCCTTGTATGTTTCATGTAAAAGAAACAGCATCAGGCATATTATTCATATCCCATTATTTCTGTGCTAGTTTCATAAGATCATTTTATCTCTATCCCAGTATTATTTCCAAATGTAGCAGTACAGCAGGTCATACCCAAAAACCATGATCTCAGTAACTTTAGAAACTATAAGAGTGCTCGTTTGAGGAGTTCCAAGAACACCCATGCCTCCATGTTATATAATATCGATATTCCGTATGCTAAATGTGCCATAAATGGTACTATAAATAAAGTGTCATGTCTCATTTCTGTATCGTGGAATGTATAATCCGACATAATGCAACATTGACACTGATGCACACATTTCAAACAGGTCTGGGAAAAACTATTGGCGGAGAGAATTTTCATCTGACCAACGTTCCATAACAATTCATATTTTGATGCTTTCAAATTTAAGTATCGACACACTCTTCTCTCTGTGCATATTACACAAATAAATCACACCGCAGTAGGCTACTCCAATGGAGAAAAAAATTAAATATCAAAGTATTTTTTATTAATTCAATACATACAACTTATAAAAAATATCGGGAAAACTTGTTATATAACAACAAAGAAAATGTATGCATGGTATCAAAAATGTGGATGGCGTTTGCATCAAATATTTATACCGTTGCAATTGTAAAATAAGATAAAAAAAAAATCTAAAGAAACACTTGGAGTCATAATAAGTTTTTATGTTAATTTGTATATTTATAAGATAAAACTGTAAAATATTTGAGAGTAATAAAACAGCATGTAGGAGAATTCTTTCAGACAGTAATCACGACCGCCGACCTATTATTTTAAATATTATAGTTAATATTAGTAGATAACTATACTCCTACTAAACTTAGACTATTTGTTTTTATCTGTATGAATTCTGTGCGGAGATATGCATTATATTATGATCTGTTTCAACCATCGAATTTGACTGAAAATGGACATTCTATAAATAACGAAATTAATTAGGGTTAGTTAATTGTAAATCACATTTCCAAAAATTAAATTTTGCACCAACCGCTGTCACTTGACACTATATTTTTTTTTTATGTCACTGTATGTAACTTGATTAGAAATTGTAAATAATTTTGATTCGCCAACAATTAAAGAGGGAAACAGGCTATTAAGATATAAAGTAAAATTATATGAACATATGCAAATCGTCACGTTTCTTTCTTTAATTAAGGTTAAGTACAATAATAGATACTTGATGAATTTTCTTTTATCTGTAGTGGACAGCTATATCGAAAAATTAATTTATCTTAAAATAAAATTTAAAACATATACAAACACTTGCTATGTAACAAACCAATTATTATGCAATTGACGGCTAGCGTAATTGTGCTGTCATTTTTATTCAGTCCAAATCTTGTTGATTCTAAATTTGGCCTTCGATATATTATTACTGGAGGTAAGATAATACAGTTTACGAAGAACTAGTCAGAGGTAGATTATAAATCTGAATAAAGAATAGAGGCAGCTTCGCATGAAAAGCTATAATCGGATTCCTTTATTGGTATATGTCAACATGATAAACTAATTTTACATGAATTGTTATAAAGTGTCAAGGGAGAAACGAAAAGAATTTTTCAAAAGCAGAACTGCTTATGGATTTAAAATTCAAAGACGATATTTAGCTTATGAATATATAATTATTTTGATCATGATCTACGCTTAGTATAGAAATCTATAAGTTATATGTTAATGAAATCCATATTGCGATTATTGTTGTTATAGAAAGTAGAACCGTTTCAAATCAACCAAAATAAGTTATGCATGAATATTTTGCAAATCAATACTCTCAGGCTTTGTTTTGTATTGAACTGCAACATTAAGCATAACATATTTATGTTAAGAGTAAATCCCAGGATTCTAATAGAGCTACATAGTTGTCTGGTAGAAACAAGATTAAGGTTACCAATATGAAATTAAGAACATTCTGGTTCTGTAAAACACCAAGCAATATTTAATATGGTTTCTCTTTACCACCTAAATAGATACATCTTGTTTCATTTTACCTACAAAACATATCAGGGAAGCACTCAACAAATACTTTCCCATAAATAAAGATGAACTGTCAACGGGTACAGATGGAAATTACATTTTTTTATGTTTACTACGTTAGGTTGTGCACACTGTGTACACGTTAGCCAGCTCTGAAAATTTGAGGCAGGCTTTCTACATGGCAGCATTTTTTTCAGTGGAATTAAGGCATATGCTGGTGTAAGCAAAAGGACAGTGACAATTTTCTTAAAACATTGCACGGGAAAATGTGTAATAATTGTGCTGAGCAACGCGAGTTGTCATTTCGATTGAAGCACTAACCATTTGACACCGAAAGCCATTTTTTGCAAACTTGTCTAATTACCATTCAAATATCATGTTAATTGCCCGAATCGTGAAATAATTTTAATTTTTAGAGGAGATATATCAAATTCTTCATTAAAATATCTTATGTTATCCCCACCTTCAGCTGGAAATTGAACCTAGAAACAACTTGAAACTTCGCAGGAAACACTTCAAAGCTCTAAGCAACTTGATTCTCGTGTCAATGAGTACTAGAATAACCTCTAACCAAATTGAAAATATGATACGTAATCACAGTCTAATGCTATATAACACATTATGGGGTTGTATATATTTTAATTAAGCATGTTTCACCAAATGTATAGCATGTGTCGGGTCGCAAGCATTGATGAAGAGCAAATGGTCCAGTATGAAAAGGAAATCATACACAGTGACATGATTACTTTGTAAATTTCACAATCATATTATATCCATAAAGTTATTCTACATATTATATCAGATCCATGTGACCATTTCTATTGGTTTGAAGGTATGAAAAATGTTGTTCTAAGAGCTCTCAGAAATATGACATTACCATCTTTATGCTTTGAGTCGGAGTCCGAAGTCCGACTCTAAATTTGCACTGTTTCTGACAGCGTCCATTGGCAACAGAAAAGTCTATTAACCTCATTTCTTTTCCATTCTTTACAGAAGTATACCTTGAGATATAAAAAGTAGATTTTATACGGACATAAAAGGTGTTAACGGCATCATAACGTGAATAATAGCTTACATCTACCACAATTTATAGCTAAATCTAGAGTTAATGACAAATCAAGAACCTCTATCTTTTCTAGGCAAAGTTATTAATGTGGAGGGCGACAACTTCAATAGAGTTTTACTAAGGTTAGAAAGACGTGCGGAGAATACCTTTTAATTAAACGAGATAGAGAAGAAAGTTAATGAGGGAAAGAGTAAACTTATATAAAAGTATACTTTTAACTATATACCTCACGTATTTAATTAAAACGACTACCCCGTAAATCTGTCTAACTTTCTAGTTTTATTGAAGTCACCATAACGTGTTTAGGTGCAGTATAAACTCCGCATCTTAATTACATGTACCTGTGACTGAAGTTCAAAGACACCATGCAAAAAAGCTGAATATTTTCCGTTACGTCTCATTACTCGTGTGCTTGAACATGTTGATAAATAACCTGTATGGACGACTTCGAATATTTTGACGCCTACATCACCACGATTTAAGTTTATAGCACACCAAATAGTAGATAATAGATTACAAGCTTCAGCATATTGTTTTGTTTATTAGTTCCGCTTCTTATTACTTTTAGAGGCTCTCCCAAATTCGTGTATTTGTTGATGAAAGGTTACATAGTATCCACGGGGTAAGGAGTTATGTATTTATTGATGAAAGCTTAAATGGTATCCATGATGCAAGAAGTCATGTATTGATTGATGAAAGCTTGCATAGTACATATGAGACAAGAAGTCATGTATTTGTTGATGGCGGCTTACAGGTTATTCATGAGGCAAGAAGTCATGTATTTGTTGATGGCGACTTACAGGTTATTCATGAGTCAAGAAGTCATGTATTTGTTGATGACAGCTTACAGGTTATTCATGAAGTCATGTATTTATTGATGGAAGCTTGCATGGTATTCATGAGGCAAGAAGTCATGTATTTTTGATGGAAGCTTGCATTGTTTATGAGGCAAGAAATCATGTATTTTTGATGGAACCTTACATGTTATCCATGAGGCAAGAATTCGTGTAGTTGTTATTGGAAGCTTACAATGGTGTCCAATGTCCATGCGACAATAAGTCATGTATTTGTTGGTGGAAGCTTGCATGGTATCTATGGGGCAAGAAGTCATGTATTTTTGATGGAAGCTTACATGTTATCCATGAGGCAAGAATTCGTGTAGTTGTTATTGGAAGCTTACATGGTATCCAATGT